AGCAGAGCTGCGAACAAGTCCAGTGACTACAGGCTAGGGAGGGAATCGCTAGGAAAATAACTACTGTTTCGACTACTGTTTGATTTATTTTAGTGATTTCTGCTCCTTAACGCTTCCATTCACCGTTCTAGCCTGCGTCAGAAGAAGATGAATTATTTGGGAAAAAATATCTAAAAAGCGGGTTAGAAGCGGCATAAACGAGGTAATAAGGCACGCAGGTAGTCATAAATTGTTGGATAAAAAATACCAAACAAACAACAGTTTGGTAACGTATTCCTTTTGATTAAACACGCTTACAAAAATGCATAATATTTACATAAAAAGCCAGTCATGTGAACAGCCAATATGATTGTGGTCACTGTGGAGTGTTGGGAGTAACGCATTACAAAAGTAATATTACAGTAGTATATTACGTTTTGCTGTAACGCAGTAATATAACGCATTACTAATAAAATTTGGGTAATATTATTACTCGTTACAATCTCAGTAACGCAAGTTACAACAACATATTACTAACACCGCAAAACAGCACCAGAGAAAAAATTCCGCAGGTAAAATAGTTTGTCTATCTTCTGTTGCTGGAATTAGATGGTTCAGATGACAGAGACGGATTCTACATTTGTGAGATGGACACACTCCTGTTATTTTCAGTTCATCGGAGAAAAGGATAAGAATGCTTAGCAATATGTGCGACACCAAACTCTCAACATGGAGAAATAGCACGAGTAAAACCTGGAAACACCTGGACTGGTGCCACTAACACTAAGCTATCGGAGAGAGAGCTGCGGGGTCGGAGAAGAGAAAAAGACGGCGGACGAGCGCAGACAAGCAACTGAAAGTAACTCAAAAGTAACTCAAAAGTAGTGTAACGCATTACAATTCAGAGACAGTAATATTGTAATGTAACTAATTACTTTCAAAAGACAGTAACTAGTAATATATAATGTATTACATTTTGGAAGTAACTTGCCCAACACTGTCACTGTGGAAGAAGCCGCAAATTAAATTATGACATAAAAGTCATATGATATAAAATGTCAAAATCATGATAATTATTATGACATTAAAAGCAAGAACTATGACATTAAAAGTCGACAACTTTGGTAACATCACATTAAAAACAATTATGACATAAAGAGTCAGAGTTACAACAAACTGACAATTAAGTCATGGCAAAAAATAATAAAAATAAATAAATAAAACAACAACACTGTCATAATTATGACTTGTATGTCACAATTTACACTTTTTTTTAAGATTTACCAAATAATTACTTTTTCTTATGTGGCTGAAATGGGCTTCCCTAATTTATAATTAAGACTTAAGTCTCACAGGAACAACAGTTTGTTATTATATTATATTATTTTTTTTCAAAATCGGACAAGACAAAACTTATGTTCAGTAAGTGAGTCAGATTGAATCATTAATCTGTCTGACTGATTCATGAGGGTTTTGTTCACTAAAAAGAACCAATTCAAAAGAGTCAGCTGTTCAGGAATCGGGCTACATTGTTCATGCTGCATGTTCTTGAACTAAAAGAGGCAGGTTTGAATCATTCATCAAAAACCTGTTTATCCATTTATTCCAGCTTAATGTGAAAATGTCCCAAAGAGATTTTAATGAGCAAGTTTTGGATATCTGAACCTCACTGCATGTCTTGCACACAGGCTCACAGTCAAACACACACCATAGACGTGCTCCAGAAGAGGTACTGTTGCTTTATTCAGCATGTATTTAGGTGCAAACATACAGCACCATTCAGTTCAGAGACTGTCATGATAAACAGACTCGGTTACTTGTTCATTTCCAAATTACTGATAATTGACTTACACTGTAACTTAGATGACACAACAAAAGCAGATGAAAGCATGATAGTTGTATTTTAACCATGAGTCTAAAAACTCCAGTTCTAAAGCTTTTATTCCTACTCTTAAATTTCAGTCATGCTTTTATCAAGTCAAACACTGTAAATGCTAAAGCAAAATAATCATCATATCCTCATAATTATACTCAACCGAACAAACATAAGAGAAGCGGAACACAGACACATAGCAAATAAAATATTACAACATTTACTAAAATTAACACATTCTAACATAATTAACATAGCTAAAACTTAACTGTTGCACTAACTACATATAATCTAAAGAGCCAGGGATGGTGGGCAGTGTCCTGTTGGCTGATTCTTAGTCTAATGTCGAAATGAACAAATTGGCTTTAGTCCATTCCTTGCACCCAAAGAGAGTTGAGACCGAACTACAATTCACCTCAACAAACAATTGGTTAAAAGTTTGCATATAGGGGATCACTGGTTAATCAGATTCTCAATGGGTGCTGGGAATGAAACAGAAAAAAATGACAATTTAGTGAAAACTATTATTTGCAGAACAATATAGTGTATAGAGTTCTTTAAGTTGAACCATCTAAGGTCCTTCATGAGAATCTGCCAACATGACACTGAGCTCTGGCTGAGTGAGTGCTGCCCTTAGCAATGTCTCCAAGGTGGTCATTTGTCCATTTTCAAGTGTAAAGAAGAAGGGGGACCTCATTATGTGTACCTCTTGTGTGACACAAGGGCTCGTCTGACTTTAAAGCGATGATGTGCTGCGGTTTAGTTTCATGGTTAGATGGTGGAATTGGGGTGGAATTAACTAAAGAACTAGGATTGGAAGTAAATGTGAAGGTTATGGATGTGGATTTGGCAAAGAGAGTCTTAAATGGTGGGTCCAGGTTAGTAGGGTTTTTGGAGAAAAAAGTAGATTTATGTGCCTCTCAATGTTTGGGAAGGTGATGTGTTGGTTAGTATTTTAGGATCGTAATGTGGGTCTGACTCAACAGTATTCAAAATATGAATATGATGAATGTGAGTTACTAGGATTTTGTGTTTTAAGGGTTTAGGCAAGGGCTGGTAGGGTGGAATATGTAAATCGAATTTCTTCTCCCTCCAGGAGTTTCCTGTAAAGACAAAAATGAAGTTTAATGCAAAAGAATTGTTTTAAGTCAAACTGATTGAAGATACTCCAAATGTCATACTGTCAAGCATATTACCTGTAAGCTGCAATCTCAACATCCAAAGCCATCTTCACGTTAAGCAGATCTTGATACTCCCGCAAATAGCGTGACATTTCCTCTTTCGTATCGGCAATGTCCCTCTCTAGGTCACTTATCCTCTCCTAGAAGTTGTTCAAAGAAAATTTCAAAGCATAAATTAATGCTGATATGCTTATCTGACAGAAGTGTTCCTACATACTGTTTTGTGCCAGAGATAGAGAGAAGTAGAGCAGAACTTTATTATAAAGGGATATCTTTCCCTCTAGAGTCAGTCTCATCTCTCCTACTCAGTTTGTCAGTCATGACTCAGCACTGATGGAATGAGTCAGCATCAGTAACATTTCTGCAACTTTGGTATCACTTGTCTTGGACCTTACAATGCTAAAAGCACAGCAGAAATAATATTCCATCAATGCTGAGACTGTAGAATAGTAAAGGTCAGCGCACTGACTTGGCATGAAAAATAAATTTACAGTCTGTTCCTAAGCCTTTGTGCTTCCCTTTTGTTATTTCATGAGGAAAATGTGCAAATGTACCTTTAGGGGTAGCTTATCGCCTTACATATTCCTACTCTTAAGGTAAATATGCACCTTTTAGGGGTAGATAAGGTACAAAATTGTGCTTTTATAAGTACTGCCCCAGTGACAAGCTGTTGTACCCATAAAGGTAGGATTTTTGGACATTTTATCTGAGTGTATTATGCCCATCAACACAAATAAAGATTGTTCTGGTTATGTTCCATTTCATTAATCTTCTCTTTTATACAGAATGTTTCTGCAGTCAATAGCATAATGACCTCACTTCTAAGAGTGTCTTTACAGAGACATTTGTGTGGTCGTATTATACGTATGCAATTATACTTGGATTGATTGCTGCTGGTGATCTATACCTGGTACTTGTTGACATCAGTGTTCTGCGTTTCCTCTAGGTCCCCTAGTTGTGCATTCAGTGAATCGATAACATTCCTCAGTGCCTCAACCTCAGCTGAACGGGACTGCAGCAGCCGTCGATACTCAGTGGTCTCCTCACGTACCAAGCGCACAGCCTCCTCCTGCTTATCTGACAGCTCCACTACGCTTGCCACCTTCCCCCGGAACCAGGCTTCGGCGGTCTGCATGTTGCGTCCAGCCAGGCTCTCATACTGCGCTCGGATCTCTCTCAGAGCGGCTGACAGGTCTGGTCTACTTGTGTCCAGCTCCACACTGAGGCTGGCAACCTGTAGCTGGACCCTCAGCCCCTCCTGCTCCTCTGCAAAGACTTGCTTCAAGAAGGCCAACTCCTGCTCCAGGGAGACTACGCTGGCCTCGGCATCACAGCTGCACAGAGCGGCCTGACCTGCCTCCTCCTGCAACCTCTGCACCTCTGCCCAGCTACGCCGCCGCGCCTCTTCCTCCCAGCGCTCGTGCAGCTGTGCGTGTGCCTCCCGCAATTTCTCCTTCTGTGCCTCCATGCGTGCTTTATTCTGGGCCTCTTGATGCAGCTGCTCCCTGAGGCCCCGTACCTCCTGTAGGTAGAGCTGCTGCACACGGGACGGCTGACTCTGCCTGCGCCGCAGGGCCTCCAGTTGTAGGAGCAGCACCCGGTTTTGTTGCTCAAGGTGTCGCACCTTCTCGATGTAGGATGCAAAGCGGTTGTTCAGACCCACCAGCTGCTCTCGTTCTTGGGCCCGCAGCTCTGCGTTCACTATGCTCGCCTGGCTCAGGTCACTCTGCTCCCAGCGCTGCAGCGGCTCCAAATGCATCGGCCACCTGGAGGACGTCAGGGGACCCCGGGAGAGCCGGTAGGTAGTTCTGCTGGAGGGGGAATCTTCCCATCGCCGGGAGAGGGAGGAGGAGATGTATGGGACAAAGCTCATGATGCAAGATTTTTTTAGTAGTTTTTTTGTTTGGTTTTCAAATGATGTTAATGTTTTTTTGGTTGGAGAAGTTTTTCTCTTTAAGTCCCCCTTGTTCTGCACACCATTAGTGGAGATGAACCGGCACTGCACCAGTTCAGAAATGCTGCAGAGCGGTGTGCTTTATACAGGACACACATACACACTCTCTCCACACACACACACAGATCCTCAGCCAATCAACAGCTCAGCAGTGTCATGATGCTGCCGATTGGTTTTGCGTTTCTTTTTTAGCTGGAGTAGCATATCAGGAGGTAGGGCAGATTGATACATCTTTATTATAGGGACACTTTTCATGTTTCTAGACACGTTTTAAATGTAATTCAAATGTGAATCTGTGTGTGAAACATATTTGAAAGAAATCTATGCAGTCAGCTTATTACTATGGGAATAAACAATAACAATAAAGTTAACAATTTGAAGGTGGAAACAGAGAAAACAAGATTAAGCAGTGTTTTCACTACATACAATTCATTAGCCATAGCCAATGTATGAAAATTATTGAAACAACAAATTGTACAATGCATAATTTTTCAATACAGTTTGCATAGGTAGGGTAACATTAGCTCATCATACATGGTGTTACGTTATTCTTTAAAAGATTTAAACCTCAAGATCTTGCTCTCCCATGAATGGTGCTGCCTCTGGCTGACATCTTTGGATCTCAGAAAGGTGATTCTCTGACAAATCTGATTCACCAATGTCTCCTTGCTGTAATGTTAAACAATCTTATTTCAGGATTTATAGAATAAAGGTTGAGAGCAATATACGATTAGTTCCCCACTGAGGAGTTTTTAACTACATTCTGGCATCGGATCCCAAATTTATGAGGGTAACCCATATTACAGCAATGCAATAAAATGTTTTAAAACATGTTAAATTTATTTCCTTTATTTTGCTGAACAACAACTAAGTTGTAAACCAAACAACAAAAACTTGTGACTATTTTTTACCATCAAATATTCAGCTTCTAAAACAAAGTTACCTGTGGTGTGCACTGTGCCGCAAAGTCCCTCAGCGCATACATCTCATTCTGTACGCTGAAAGACAATCAATGAACACTTGTTGAAGCAATTAAGCAATGCAAAATAATACTAAACACCCTCAGCTGTAAATGTAAATTTACATTAGTGGGTCATTATACAGCTAACTACTAATCCTTTAGTTAAAATTCAAAAAATATATTTTACAAAAAAGTGAACTTACTCTCTCCCGGCAACTGCCCCTGTAATTCATGAGTAAAGACAATAACAGTGAGCTGCATCGTTATCAATAACAGCTCTTATAAATGAGTGTCAAAACCAATGGAACTCACAGTATGCATGGATCTGTAAAACCAGCCACACACCAGACATAATGCTTTCAAACGGCAGCACTATTACACGCAGATCATCCACTGTTCTCTCCCCCTTGTCTTGCAAACAGAAGATGGAAGAGAAGAATTTAGTGACCTCTCCAACGGAACCATATTCTGAAATCTATTGTGGAAATATAAAAATTGTTTAGGTGTCGACACTTACATACTTGCAATATTAATTCTGTGGCAAGAGAAACAGAGTTGACCACTGGTAGACCTGCCACTCCATACATGAACAAAGTAGTGTAAATTACATCTGCAAAAGAGAAAAAGAATGGGTTTTTAAGATATGGTAGAATAACTGCAGCATAAGGACGCACATTTAAACCCTAATGATTAAATAAAAATGATCATAAGGATTTGTTGGCACAAAGTAAACAAAAAATCTGAATGTTTCCTTGACTTTCTTTCCTGATTTTCTGACTTTCAGTGTATTTTATTACCGGGAACTTTTCTGGGGAATCGTGTGGGTGAAATTGCAGTCAAGACATGGAGCATAACTGTGACAAAGATCCATCCAAAGCACTCTGTGATGAATGACACATTATTATAGTCAGGTTACTATTGCTGGAAACTTATGCTAAACCATAAAAACTAACAAAACTGATGGTATGTATCGCATAGCATACAAACCAAAAAAAAAAAAAAAAACACTAAGGTAACAATCCAAGCAATATATGCTTTGAGATTGTATAGTGAAAAAAAGTTTGCTCACAATTGATACCAGCTTACCGTTAGTATACTCCAGAATCTTGTTGAGATAAAATAAAATAAATGCACTATGCCCGATGAGCGTAACAACCATAACGTTTACCCAAACTAAATCTGGGACAGAGAGAGAGAAAAAGACAGATCATCATTAACACATATATATAATGAAAACAAAACACAGTAAACAAAGTTTCCCAATCAACTTTACGTCTGGAGTATTTGTGAACTGGTCTGTAAGCTAATTCTCTTTTTGCCCTGAAAGCATTTTTTCCTGACCTCTCTGGAAAAAAATGTTTAAGTATTCAATTTAAATGGCTTCACCAGCACATAACAATGATTTCCAACGTACAATGAAACTCAATATACTTACAACATCTCCATATAAGCGCATAAAGTTGATATTTGCCCAGTTTTGAACAAAAGTACTGGCGAATTGCTGGAATTGGAAGAACTATTAATGATATGGCTGCAGAAATTCCCCCAAAGGCATATGTAATTTTAATCATGGCTGAAAAAGTAAACAGGCACACATTTTAATGACTATGAGTAAATAAATATGTCACAAGTGACAGATCCTGGATAACTTATAAATACAATTCCTACTTACATTCATCAACACTTGATGATCTATAGAAGAGAAGACACATTTGAAACAAGTTGCTTGACTGCATGAGAACGTGTCCTAACTTATCTGCATGACAACAATCACATATGACCATTACACATCAGAACATGCAGCCTAGTGGTTAAAGATCTGAAAGGTTGTAGGTTCAAACCCTGCATGAGATGATCTCAACGTTTCTGGCAATTGTCGTATATACAGGTCACACAAGGGACTGAGTGTGCAACATCCGAATTACTTGCCCAAAGTAATAAATAAAGCATAAAATTGCAGTAAAAGACAATTTGATATACCTATAATAAATTGCACTGACAAATGTATATCAAAAAATTGTGTGAAGCAAACGTTGTTTAAGGCTCGAAAAATTGCAGGCATGGATGACAGCAGAATAATCCCAACACTGACAAGAACAACTTCAGTCCACTGAGATGTATTCCAGAGATCATAAAGAACAGCTACAAAACACAACAGATTATACAGTTATTCAGTTATACAAAGTAATAAGTACATATATTCATAGCTCAGGCCCAGATGGATATGATTTAAGGGTACAGTCTGCAGAAGTATTATTAAAAGTATAATATATTAAATATACAAACTACTGTAAGACTCTAAGGCCAAGCTTCCTTACCTGAGCAAAATGCTGTGGAAATCAGAAGATATGCAATGGGAATCGCTACAAATTCAATTATTCTGTGGATGAAACCTGGAAAATTCACTGAAACAAAAAGGAACAAGACAATGATTAGAAATCAAAGTCCATAATCATTCATGGTAAAACTTTTCCAACGTGAATTGTAAATGTATATTTCTTTCAAATGAAAACCATATTCAAGTTGCAAAGATTCTATATTTATAGGTTTATCACAATGTCCTAAAGCGCTTGATAATATATAATTACAGTACAATGAGATATGAAATGTATTATGGCATATACAATACAATGCACATTGCTACAAATGTCTTTCATTGAGATATACATACCAGAAACAGTAGTATTCCAATTGAAATATGGGGCCATAAGAAATAACAAAATGATCCGACTCAGATTAATTGTCACACACATCGTTACCTCAACTACAGACCCTGAACAAAGCAGTAAAAAAACAACAAAACAAAGTCATCAACAGAGAGAAAAAAAATGGGTAAATATAACCTAACAATACATGCAGAAGGATACTTACCTTCAATAACTCCCCACAGAAGAAATGCAATAGACAAACAGATGTTGGGACAGACAACCTGCATATAATTTATGTACATTGGTTTTGGGCCAGTATCTGCAGAGAAACATAAACACCATGTGTAATTATTTAGTTTATAGTTATTCAGCAAATAGATATCTACACATCAACCCTAATTCAGTGAAAGAATAACAGAACAAACATTTAAAGGCACAATATGTAATTTTTTGCCACTAGAGGGCGAGTATTCAAAACAAACAAAGAAACAAAGGCGTAGTTTGATGACGCCGTGACTGAGTGTGGAATCATGGGAGTTGTCGTCTTCATCCCCACAGCCGATACAATCCGACGGGACTCGGGCAGAAATCATGTTCATGGATGAGCTAATGTATTAAAGATTTATTAACGTCGTAGTATGAAGTTAAAATTGCTTATTTCTCTGGATTTAAACATTCTTCGAAACATTTGGGATAATGTAAGTACACAAGTCAGCAAAATATATAAAACTGTTCTAGTGGTTTTTGGATATTTTAATAAAAAAAATCTTACATATTGTGCCTTTAACATCTTATTAGTTTACAATTGTTATACAATAAAAAAAACTATTAAAAGCATACTTAATTCTTGGCCTACCTTTTTTGCTTATATAGATTGTGACTGGAATACTTAATACAAAAGTCAACAAGAGGGAAATAAAGGGGACTCGGGCAGAAATCATGTTCATGGATGAGCTAATGTATTAAAGATTTATTAACGTAGTAGTATGAAGCAGAGTGAGGCGGAAAGCCGTCCAAGCATGGAATACTTAATACAAAAGTCAACAAGAGGGAAATAAAGCAAAGCATCAGTGTAATGATGTGCAGAGCAGACATCCCTACACGAAAGACACAGAATGATTTTACTGACATTGGATTAAGTTAATCCACATTTCCTCTTATTTTAGGTGAAGTTTTAGTCATTTTGTTGTGCTTTCGTCATTTCTAAGAGATTTTCCTATTTTAGTGTTTCTATAGCTTTATTTTGAATTTGATTTTAGTAATTGTTTTTTTTTTATTTTATTTTTTTTACTTATTTCAGTCAGTTGTACTTATTTCAGTCAATTTCTAATCTGTATTTCAATTAGCAAAAACTATTTTATTAGTTTAAATAAACAATAGCAACACTGTTGTGCTGCTTAAAATTTTTGAGGAAACAAAATTATTTGAAATAGAATCATTTAAATGTATTTACCGTCACTTTTAAACATTTAAAGTATTCAATTTAATTTTTTAAAAACAACATTTTACCGACCAAAGCTTTTAAACAGTAGTGTCTGCTTCGGATGACTTACCCAACCGCCCAATTTCCACAGTTGCAGAGCTCACTGAATTCTCTCAACACAAGGACAATGTCTGGCTTTTTGTCCACCTTCTTCCATGAGACCTCGTCAATGCGCTGAGGAGGAATATGCGAGTCCACCATGCAGTTTAGAACAACATCCTCACCAACGCGTGCAAATACAATTTGATCTTCTGCTGTCACAACTACACGTTCTGTTATAAACAAAAGATAAATTATCATTGTATAATAAATAATCAAATAATCATTAGTTTTGTCATTATTTTTAAATGAGATATACTTACCCACATGCTGAATTGTAACAGAGATCTCTCCAACATTCTGGTAAGAGAAAACTACACATCTGTAGATACCAGTGTCTGCAACTGTTATATTTTCCAACAGGATTGAGAAGTTTCCTTTAAAGATCTGCTCAGAAAAAAAAAGTGCTCTGTCCCTGTAAGACTGATGCTGAGCCTCAGGTCTGTACTCTCCATTCTGAAACAAGTGCACTAATGCCTCTTCATCTGTCGTCTTCCATTCGACCTCCAGCTCCTCCATGGGTAACGGGGTTTCCACAGAGCAGGGCAGTATGATGGAACCCCCCAGTTGTGCAACCAGAGGCTGAGCAGGTCCTTGAACCAATAGCCCTAAAAAAAAAGAAAAGGAAGAAGAAACAGCAGTAAGTCAAAAACACATAATGTAAACAAGTATAAAACAAAGTATTTGATCTTCACCTTCAGACGTAAGAAGAGCTGCTGCATATATCAAGACTCCAAACATGCTCATGTTTCAGGTGCACGTATCTACAGAAAATCTCTGAATTGAGGAGATAAATAAACACAGCTCTAGAATAAACTGACTACATCATACAATGACAAAGAACAGTTGGGTGGGAATGCAAGTTCTTTCTACTTTCATTTTGAGTGTAGTTGTGCAACATGGCCTTTGACCGAGGATGCACTTTATTGACCTCATACAGCTATAACTCAGCAGCTGCTTTTTAATCTCTGTTGTTTTGCCAGGAAAACCCCTACAAGGCTAAGGATTACCTATTATATATGAATGTTTCACATTTTCCCTGAAAGTTACTGTCAGTTATCAATGGTAGCCATTTCAAAAGACTCCTGGTGCTGTTCATTTACATCAAGCATAAACTCATGAAGCCATGTTTAACAGCTGGCCAAAAGCTGATTTATAGTTTAAAATACTATAGTATTTTTCTTACACACACCCTATCTTTTCACTTCATAAGACATTGATTCATCCACTCGGGTTGTATGGATTACCCTTGTGATTGTTTTGTGGGTTTTTGAAGACTAAACTTTTGGATGACTGTCCACTTGCATTATATGGACTCAGAGATGTATTCTTTTTCTAATAATCTTTGTTAGTGTTCATCTGAAGAAAGAAAGTCATATACATCTGGGATGGCATAAGGCTGAACAAATGATGAGAGAATTTTTTTTTTTTTGGGTGGAGTATCTCTTTAAGCAGGTTTTCCTCTGGAACAGTGATTCTCAACCAGGGGGCCTCAACAAATCTCCAAGGAGGCAGAATTGTTTTCACTGAAGCCTCCCACACCTGCTCACTCCTGTGGAGCGGAACACACACAGCCATGCTCTGTTAGGTCATGTTTCAGCAATACCACATTTTATTATTATTTTAAACATAAGATAAAAATTTGTGATGTCAAATCGATTAATCGCGATTAATAGCATCCAAAATTAAAATTTGTCTACTGTGATAGATGATCCGTACAGACCAGGCCCCACGGTTCGGCACGCATGCGATTCGCGGATTAACTGTTAAATTTAACATTTATCAGAGTTAAAGTTATCGTTTGCATGTGTTTTGTCTTGCCAATTTAGGCCTACCCATTCAAACAAAAGAGAACACGCGCGCTGTTTTCTACGGCTGGCGCACACATCCGAAGCAAGCACACGCAGAGAGAAAGGGGCGATTGATTCCTCTTTCACTCTCTTTGAACGGAAACATGCACAGTACACACAAAGTTATATTAAAATACCCGTTTTGGCAAGTAGGCCTATTCTGGTAAACAGTCGGTTATGTCTTAAGTGAACCGAAACAGCTGAGAAAGAAAGCACATGTGTGTCAGTATTAGGTACGTGCATTTGGTCTTAAAGAGACAGCAACCTATAAATACTTGTTTCTGTCTGCTATATTTAACTGTGTTATTTTACAATTATTGCATTTCTGCACCTGAATACTAGTGTTACTGACTTTATTAGTAACTTTATGTTGTATTCATCCATGCATGTAATTTTTGTTCTTGCTTTATTACTGACTTTATTAGTTCAGCTAGTAGTTTTTGCTGCGGTATAGAAGCATTTAAAGTAAGCTTTCAGTAATAAATGAAAAGCAAACTTTTTTTTTTGCTGATCCGAAAAATTATCCAATCCGTGTCTCAAAATCCCTAATATGGTCCGAACCGTGAGTTTTGTGATCCGTTGCACCACTAGTATATGTATGTATATATAAATACACACACATACATGTATAGGTGGAGCAGGTACAGGTGGAGCTGGGGAAGGTGGAGAGTTTCAGAGGAACTCTGAAAGGGCTCTGTCACAAAACCATGAATTACACTAGACCGAAGTGACAGAACCCTGACAGTAGCAGATCTATACAGGTGGAGCTGGGGAAGGTGGAGGGTTTCAGAGGAGCTCTGAAAGTGCATTGCAAAATGCTCAAGCAAATGCTAACCAGCCATTTAAATGTAAAGCAGCAAGCTCATTGGCTGCGTATGCAACATGAACCAATCAACTTGTGCCAAGTCATTTAATGCTAAGAATATCATCAGTTTACGTTAAGGACCCATCAGCCTGTGCCATCTAGAGTTTCAGACAGAACTTGGTATATAAATATATATTTCATATATATTTACTCGCATGCCCGAGAGGCATTTCAAAGATGGCCACTGAGTGAAATGACTTGCCTTAAAGGGTTAGTTCACCCAAAAATGAAAATTAGCCCATAAATTACTCACCCTCAAGTCATCCTAGGTGCATAAAAAATTGTCTTTGATCTTTCAAGCTGTTTAAGGGGCCGTTCACATGTACATCTTGGCTGAGCTTTCAATGTTGTTACGGGAAAGGATGAAGCTGATTGGTTGGTTCTTGTGACATGACCCGCGGTGTGCTTGCGGCATTCTGAAAAGTTGAAATGTGTTTATCTTGATGCGGCGCGGACGCGCCTGGAAAAAATGAGCACGTCGCACTGCGTGCGCGTCGCTTCCATTATGAGCGCGCCTGCGTTTACATTTGAAATAACGAACCTGAGCGCGCAAAAGACGCGATATGTGAACGGCCCCTAATGCCACTCGCGCAACGCTGAACTCATACGTCATCAGCCCAGAGCTGCTTCCGTGTACAACTGTTGAATTTTAATTTTTGGGTGAACTAACCCTTTAAAGGGCCTTTGATTACATGCAATGCCAAATACCATCTCAATTTGTCGAATTTTTTCAAATACAATATTTTACTTAATTTCATTACACCAAATACACAAAATAATGTTCTTTTTAGCAGCATCATATGACCCCTTTAAAATAGGAAAAGAACGCTGCTTTTGTTTTCTTTTGAAAAATACCTTTTTTGTTGTTGCAAAAACTAATTTAAAAATAATACTGAATGGTAAAGAAATTATCCGTTATTACGGCATGAAGACTAAAACCACTGACAGTTTTGTAAACTTCATAATTGTTAATGGCAAATTCATGAATGCCGAAAATTAATCTTTTAATAAATCACATAAGGCTGTGAAAAATGTAAAAGGTACATCTATTGTAAAATACTATTAATCTGTATTTAACATCATGTGAATGGCTTTTATTATTTTAGTTTTATCTTGAGAACATTTATGAGAACATTTGAATTAGTGGTCGACCGATATATCGCCAAGGCATTTTTCCAATATCGACATCTGACGAAAAGTTTTTCTGTTTGGCCGATGCGTTCGTGGCGGGACTTTTATTTTGACGGCGCTGAGAACGGCACACAGTGCTCACATTCTCCCTCTTGTTCGCTGTCGTCGTCGTTAACAGTTCTGTCCACGGACAGAAGTCTGTCTAATAATCAGATAGAACTGTTAAACAAAATAATTAAAATGTATACAAACGAGAATTATAACGATTGCTTTTATATTGTTAGTAATAGAAAGGCAAACATAATACTTTCTCGGTTGCCGTCAGCATTCAGCCAGTACGCATTTATATAATTTAAACAAATCTTTAAATGACTAATGAACATCTAATTTAAAAAACCTTGCAAACTTTGTCGAATCCAGCTGTGAGATCTTATGAAGTGTGCATTTGTATCTTGCATGATCGCGTGTTCTCTGCGTGACGGTCGGTTCGTGTGAATTGAAAACGGACAGGAGGAGAGTTCAGCTTCACCGAGATGCGCGATCGACAAACTTTAAACTCGTGATTTCAAATTATGCTGCGCTTCATGCTTTTGCCCAATGTCATATTCACTGTGTGCTGTATGCAAAATGAGTGTTACCTTGGCTTTATTTGAAAAAAATGTGATTCCCAATGCACACAAACTTCCCAGAATACTGAGTGCCCGGTTGGTTAGCGTTTACTTTTTAATTATATTTTTATTAAATATTTTATTTGTGAAAAATACTTTGTCATTTAAAGTATAAGCATGTTTATTCTACACATTTATTTTTTAATCCATTTTCAAATTATTTCAAATTTCTTAAATATTAAATAAAATAAATAAAATAATATCGGCTTTATATCGGCCATCGTGCTTGCCATGGTATCGGCATCGGCTGTCAAAAAACCAATATCGGTCGACCACTAATTTGAATTGTTTGTGATTGCACTGGAATGAAAAACAAGAATATTAGGTAACATGTTAAATAAACATAAAATAATAATTTTAAAAAAACTCAAAAGATTTTCCCCATTTTTCAGGGCACCTTTTATTGTAATAGAGAGTCTTTTTGCATTGCTTTACAGGTATATCAATTACAACAGAAATTGACTTTTTTACGTATCAAAATGGTATGATATGGTC